CTATTCATGCGTTTCATACAAATTCCATTGTGTTCCCACTCTTCCTTTCTTGATCTTCTCCCATCTTCTGCTGCCAGACATTACGTTTACACTCGCATCATATACTACTTATAAGTAGCGCGCACCACAAAGGGATCACACGAGCCTATCTGGACACTGGTTCATTGTTTTTTTCCTCGTTATTCGTCTAAAGTGAACTCATAATAATTTAAGCATACCTAGAGACTAGCGTAACAGTTTGAGATGGAGGAGAAAATTTGTAACTCCGGTGGATGATTGTGGTGGTATTTTGTTCTGAGCTGAATTTTTTTCAGTTGTGGAGCTTTCTTCTGAACAACGTCATTCGCACAAACTTCGGATAGATAATGTTGTTCAGAAGAATAACAATGAAAGCTCCACAACTGAAAGATTTAGCTCAGAGAATGAAACACTACCACAAAATTATAGTTTACATAAAGTTGATGGTGCTTGTCCATATTTGATTGTTTGAATGAACATTTAGTTTTGGTCTAGGCGAGACTGATTTCGATCGCTGGATATGTTGTTGTTTGCTGCATTTGGCTTTAGTTTTAAACCAATCTTGTCAACGTTTTGATTGCAAGTTTTTTTCAAGAAGACAGTCTTTTTCTTAACTGTACAATGTTCTATTTTTTGCTCGTACCGTATTTACTGATAGGTTTTTGTGGATAAGCCTCCTCACGTGAGCACCGTTCCACAATGACCACTCCCTTTTCACTTCTACTCAAAGAGCATATACTTCATACAAGGTTGAACAGCGATCGAACCAATGTTCTTTTATTAGCTTACTGGGTATAAGGTGTAGGACGAGCTATACTTGAACTTCCAAGTAGTTAATCTTATGACACTCAAGTAAGCACTACTGTCCTTAAGAAACGAGTACTACGTAGGGATGGCTAATCAATAGATGGAATATTGAAACTTCATCAGTTGAAGCAGTTGGGACATGTGTTACGTATATCCAACTACCGACCGCCTCTTCGAGCTATATTATGTGGTGTAGGAGTAGGCTGAACGAAAGCTAGACGGCGGCCAAACCAAAACATGACACAAATGTACGAAGTCAGTAACAACTGGACTGAGTCATGTTGGTAGATGTTGATTACCTGATTGAGGTCCGCAAGACGATAGTAACCGATAGTTAGAGACTTTGAACGTCTTGGCTCGAAATCGTTTGCAATGGCGCTGGTGCATCCATTATCAGTCCCCTCTCAAAATATAATCTGAATTCCGCATCATCTTTATTTTTCTCTTTTTAAGTTTATTTCACTAGATTATACGTCTTCACTAATATCGTCGAACACTAAAATTACCGATTTACTGCTAACTAATACTTCTACTACATCTACTACTATGGGATTTGAATTGACAATTGCGTCTCTGTATGCTAATGTTTTATGATGACTTGAACCGATATACGCACGTACTAAGATAGGCTACCCTGAATCCCAAGCTGAAGATAGAAGGCTTTGTAAGCGTAGAAAGTATATTCTACAAACACCCAGCAATCATACAATATAATCAGGCACACAACTCTCGTTTATTTATACTACATAGAAACGTCCTTGGGACAGTCACAAAAATAGCACACTAAAATACACGGCAGCCAATCACAACCATCCATGGATTTTCCTGGTGGGAAATGAAATCTCAAGGTCAACTGATCAGCCCATGCTGGCAAACGTGAAATCCAAAATAACGCATCTATCAAGCGAGTTTTGGGGGATCTAACATCCCCAACACCTTCTTTTTCCATTCTAATTTCAACTACTTTCAATGATGAATATCTGTAATGCATAGTGTTAACATTCAATCGATAAAGTGACTTGAATCGCTGACCAGTTACAGTCTATTCATAATTGAAAATGAAATAATTTACATTTTCATGAAAGATAAAGTTGTCTTTGTTTTTAATTTTCAAAAAAAAACGAATTTATATAAAACTTGCTTCCTTTTTAGACTATGTCAGAATCAAATGGGATAGTTGTGTTTGCATCGCAACTGCATACACATTTAACTGGAATTAAAGTTGTGACTTATCATTTACGAAATGAAACACGATTACCTGATTTGAATAGAGATAATAATTATTCACCTCATTTTCAAGAAATACGTCAACTTGAACAACCAGTACATGTGAAACCAGTAAGTAGTATATAATGAATACATATATGTTTCGGTTGTGGAGCTTTCATTGTTCTTCTTCTGAACAGCAACATCATCAGCATAAACTTCAGACAGCAGAAGTGAAGTATTCGAACTTCTCCATGATTAAACTGCAGCTTGTTCTGCTAACCTCAATCTTGATTGGTTGTTGTTGTTGACCTTACGTCTGTCCTATTTGTAACCATGAATCGACTAATGTTAGACTACCATTAGAAACCTAGAAGCACTGGACGACCGTTTCGTCCTGGTATGGGAATCATCAGCAGTGCGCATCCACGACTCCTGCACCCCGCAGAATTCGCACCCAGGACCTTCGGTATTGTGCGCGAACGCCCTAACCGTTTGACCACTGAGCCGGTATCTAACGGTGTTAATGTCTAACTTGATCAAATTCACGGAGTTGCGTAACCTCATACCCTGTATACATCCGAACAGGTTTGAACTTCACTGGTCACGTCTGTCTTTGCTTTCACCTTTGTTATGATTGTATCCCCCTTTTGATCTTTTCCTTAATCCAACATTTGTCTATGATTTTTCTGATTGGTTGATAAATTAGGTCAATACTGATGTGTTTGTTGATTACTGGTTGACCTGAGTGCTTCTAAAAATTCTTTAATATTCGTTGTACTCCTTCTATTCAGTATTTCCATATTGTTCCAATCGAATGTGTTACCACAATTGTCGGTATGTATTGATATGAACGAAGCGTTGTTGTGGCGTTTGACTGCTAATTGGTGTTCACGTAAACGAAGCTGAAGAGGCCGTCCACTTTGTCCTATGAAGTGTTTTTCACATTCTGAGCAGTTGTTTATTTTTTAGATGATATTTGGTTTTTCCTCTTTTGTCATTTTGTCGTTTGGTTTATGTGGTTTGTGTGCTACACAGCTGTTCCAAATAGTCTCAGTAGTCGTGCTGTATGTTACGAAATATCCTTTACATATGGCGGAATGATCGGTTTATTGGTTCCTGAACTTAATTTTCCTTCTGTCGATGGTTTCAGTTGATATTATTTGATGAAGTTGCGTTGTAGTGAAGGAGAACACAGGTGAGGGCAACCGAATTGTATCAAACGAAAATTACAGAGTTACTCAATAAAATAAGGAAACCATATCGTAAACGGTTTGCAAATCTTCAATCAATCATCAATCCATTGTCTGACATTTCACTATTCATGCGTTTCATACAAATTCCATTGTGTTCCCACTCTTCCTCTCTTGATCTTCCCCCATCTTCTGTTGCCAGATATTACGTTTACACTCGCGTCATATACTACTTATAAGTAGCGCGCACCACACTCAGAGTGACCGATTTCTGTTTTTTTTTACTAGGGTGATACTTTGATTACAGCTTGCACTTATGATACCAGTGCAAGGAATCAAGTCACATTTGGTGGTATCGGAATCAATAATGAAATGTGTGTCAACTATGTGTTTTATTATCCTAAAATTAATTTGGAATTATGTAAATCCGATGTATCAGTGGAATCGCTAAAAATATTCTTGAATACATTAGATGAAAGGTAAGAATAAATAATTTGTTGAGTTTTTTCTTTACTTCATCTTGAAATCATGATTGAATCATTTTGTTAGACCATCACTGGAAACTTGGGAGCACTGAAAGACAGCCGTTTCGTCCTGGTATGGGACTCATCAGTGGCAGAGAGCATCCACGACTACCGTGACTCGCAGGACTCGAACCCAGGACCTAAGGTCTTGTACGTAAATGCCTGAATCTCTGGACCACTGATGATTCAAACGAGCTATATTGACTGGTATATATATTCCTGTAGGTTCTGCCATACCAGGCAGGTCAAGTGGAGAAAGACGAGACTAAAAGCAGCAACTCAAGGTCTGAGGGCGAAGTCGTATATCTCCGACTGTAGAAGGGTGTGACGGCAGCAAGGCGTTCCTTTCGAACAACCAGCATCTGCAGCGATGCTGCGTTCTCACAAGGAAAAAAATGGGCTAGAAATCGTAGACCCTAAAAATGTCACACCTCACCTTACCACAGCCGTTTGAAGAGCGGAGGTGAAACTTTAAAACCTCATAACAATACTGCGTGCAACCACCCTCAAGCACCTGTCCCTTGGGCTCTGTAGTCACATTCCCATGTTTCTAAGTTCAACATTAATGTAACTTCCTTCCCAGGTTCCTCAAGAAGAACTACTCATAGGTATAGGCATTTGGCAAATGACATCCGCCCTCATACCACTAACAGTACACATGACTTGCATTTATTTACTTCAAAGAATTGAGTAGTCTCGTAAACTCATTAAATAATCTATTATATGAAAATGAATTAATGAGATTTCAGTCGAGGGAAAAAACCGTCGAAATATTATACAACTTGAAGAAAAAAGCAACTAACAATCTGATCATTAGACAAATATTGAAGTTATGACATATATGTCTTTTTCATTAGATTTATAGAGATTAGTATTTTTGCACACTGACATCATCAGTCGATCGTTGTTAGACCACCACTATTAGAACTCTGGAAGCACTGGACAGCCATGGCGTCCTGGTATGGGACTCACCAACGCCTAACCTCTGGTCTAGAAGGTCCTGGGTTCGATTCCTACGAATAGCAGTGGTCATGGATGTGCACTACCATTGATGTGAGTTCCATACCAGGACGAAACGGCAATCCAGTGCTTCCAGGTTTCTAATGTTGTGGTCTAACAATGATTGATTGATGATTTCAAATGTGTAAATATGTCTTTGTGAAATTCTCATTCATTTTATGCAATACTGCTAACTAGTCAGTCAGTCAGTTGCAACGCAGAACTTCGTACGTAGGTACATCAGTTCATGTTGCCATACCACATCAGCACAGAGATGTAATTGTCAATTCAAATCCAATAGTAGAAGAGGTAGTAAAGGTATTAGGAGTAATCGGAGAGGTTAGGATTAGAAGATATTATTATTCAAGAAGTATGATTTAATGAGAAAAGTATAGAAAGTCAAAACTAGAGTTGTTGAAGAACCAAGAAGATTAGGATTTGAAAGAACACAAAGAATAAATGCACCGGCGCCATTGCGAACGATTTTGAGCCATTTCCTTCACGGTCTCTAACCATCGATTATTATCATCTCGCGGACCCCAACCCGGTAGTCGACAACTACCAACATGGCTTAGTCCACTCGTCAGTGACTTCATGCATTTCTGCCATGTTTTGGTTTGGCCGCCCCTAACTTTCTTCCAACCTACTCCTACACTACAAAACAAGGCTCGACGCGGCAGTCGGAGGTTGGGCATACGCAACACATGTACCAACCACCTCAACTGATGAAGTGTCACCACTTCACCTATTGATCTGCCATTCTTACCTAGCACCCGATTCCTAATAACAGCATTGCTCACTCGGTTGTCCCACGATATACGAGCAATGCTTCGAAGACACCTATGATCGAAAACCAGTAACATAAGAATATCTTCTACTCTCACTGGCCATGTTTCACAGCCATATAGGAGAACGAAGCGAACTACTGCACAGTACACTCGTCCTTAATCAGCAAACGGATATTCCGCCTTCGCCATAAGTGACGCAGGTTGGCATAAGCCAATCGAGCCTTCTGTATCCGAGCTGAGATTTCGTCAGTCACCAGGCCATCAGCTCTGATGAGACTCCCAAGATAAGTGAAGCGGTCTACACTTTCGACTACTTCACTCCTCATCACTAGTTCAGGTGCCGACGCAACCCAATCCTGAAGCAACATTTTGCATTTCGAGGGAGAAAACCGCATCCCGAACATGCTTGCATTGTTGCTTAGGGTGGTCAGAAGACTCTGCAT